CACCAAGGACCTTTGGGTAATACCTAGTGTAGAGACTAAAATTTTGAGATTGTCTCATCCTCATCCAATTGGTCAAGAAGTCAAAATTATTGATTAATTAAAATTCATGAAAGCGGGCCTATCAATGGACACGTGTCAAAATCTTGAAGGTTCAAACCGTTAAAGAAAATGCAATTTAATTCAAATTCAAATTTGAATCGATTTCCATATAAAATGAGACAAATATCTTATTTATGGAAAATAGCACAATTATAAGGAATTTTCAAATTAAACTTCCCACCTTTCGGCCTATAAATACAAGCCCACCATACAAATTTCTGAATGGAGACAAAAAAAAAAAAAAAATCACACACACACACACATACACAAAAGCCTGCTTGTTGAATCTCTGCATCAACAAACGCTCTGAAGACGAAAAATAACAAGCACGCCATACAAGTGTCGTTCTTCATTGAAACCCTTTAACATTCAAAGATTCTAAAGACGAAACACGCCACACAAGTGTCGTTCTTCATCAAAGCCTTTCAACATTCAATGATTCTGAAGATGAAGAACAATAAGCACATCACACAAACGTCATTCTTCTTTGAAAACTTTCAATTTGTCGTTCGAGATCAAGCTCCATTGGCCCTTGATCAGAAATCCAATCATGTCTTCTTCAACCTCGAAGATTTGAAAGAAAGCTCAACCACTAGTTCAAAATCAAGCTCATACAGCCCTTAGGTCGACTTTCCAAGGAGATTTAATCAAAGGAAGATTTTATTTGTATAGAATCGACCACGAATAATTATACCTCTTTTCTAAATATTAATAAAATTGATTATTTATCTGCATTTTCGTTCCTAGATTTTCAGACACGAAATTTGCACTTGAAATTTTTGGCGTTCTTACTAGCATTCTTCGGGCCTTGAGCGTGTTGAACGGTCTCAGAGGCCATTGTTGAGAGCATTGGATAGGTGTTGAAAAGATTATTAAGGAGATAGATATGAGAGGTTGAGAGGTCTCACTGGGCATGTCAGAAATTTGTACACACAAATTTTGTATCCGAAAAAGTTATTAAGGAGATAGAGACGAAGAGAAGACTAATATATAGTGGGTGTATGAGTAAGTTAAGTATGTGTTAGTATGATATTTTATTTATGTAAAAAATAAAAAAGAAAAATCAGTAAAGGCATTATACAGAAGAGTTATATATTGAGCCATACTTGTAGGATTGGTTTAGTAACACCACACAAGTGAGGAATTGGCAAAAAGTGTTGCACTTATTTTGTATGAAGTAACTGAAATTCATATGAACAACATGGAGCTAGCATGAGCTCCTTTCATTACTTGAGTGAGGGACCAGGATCACCTCCAGTTGCATAGTGCAACCATTTCCATCATTTGAAATAAGTGGCTGAGAATGTGTCACATCAATTAAAAAAATTGGTTAACTAATTTTTTACCACCCCTTTAAATATTGTATTTCATATGTATATAAACTTTAAATATTATTTCTAAAATACACGGCTGTCTCCCTTTCTCTCTCATGCTGTCTCTCTTTCTCTCTCTAAAAGTGGCTGTCTTCCTTTTTCTCTTTAAAAGGGAAGAAGAAAATAGTACCAATGGCGGTCTGAGACGAAGAAGAAGAAGTAAAGAACGGTGATGAGGCGAAGAAAAAAAAGTGAAGAACGGCGGTCTGAGGTGAAGAAGAAGAAGTGAAGATCGAAAGTCTGAGGCGAAGAAGAAGAGGGAAGAAGGAAGGTCTGAGGCAAACAAGAAGGGAAAAAGGAAGGTCTGAGGGTTAGGGTTTGAATTTCGAATAAGGGAAAACGAAGAAGAAGTGAAGAATGTCTGAGGCTAGGTTGGAAAAGTTGGGATGCACCTTAGGAAAATGTTAGGATTCACCGTAGGAAAATGTTGGGATGCACCAGAATGGCAGTGAGGCGAAAAAGAAGAAGTGAAGAACGGCGGTATGAGGCGAAGAAGAAGAAGAAAATAGTACCATTTTAAATGATACACCAGCAATTAAAATGTTAGGATGCAACTTAAGAAAATGTTGGGATTCACTTTAGAAAAATGTTGGAATGCAATTTACAAATAAGTTGGGATGTTTGTACGAAAATGTTGGGATGTACTTTAGGAAAATATTGTGATGCACAACTTTACAAATACGTTGGGATATATGTTACGAAAATGTTGAGAAATTGTTATGATGTAGCAAATAAGGATAATTTGGGATACAAGTATGATTTTCAAATTTTATTTTTAAGGAAATCATCTTATTTCCATAAGAATGGTAGAAACAAAGAAATCGTACATCTTGCTTCAATTTAGGGAAGTCTGATCTGACTTTCAATTTGGAAATAGAATCGCTTATTCTATTTCGAAATAAAGCCTACTTCATGTTTCTATTTGGAAAGAAATCAAAATCTATTTGAAAAGAAATCAAATTCTAAACTGTGTTGATTAATATTTTGGGAGAAAAGAAGGGTAGCTGGGTGGCGGGATTTCAATCAAAATCTATTTGGAAAGAAATCAAATTCTAAACTGGGTTGATTGATATTTTGGGAGAGAAGAAGGGCTAGGTGGTAGGATTTCAATTTTATTTCAAATGGGTTGCTGAAATGAAGGATGGAGGGAAGAAGAAATAAGGGAGGAAAAAAGAGTATATATATATATATATATATATACACACAAAAATTCTGTATAAGGCAAATTTAATTTTTTACCCACTATGTAAGTACTATTCATTCACAAAAATAGAACAAATATTTACACTATTTCACTGGAGGTGATTTTCCACCCTTGAGTGACCGGTACTATCCACTGCCCAAGCATCAAAACCCTAGCTTTAATATATCAAATGTAGTGCTTCCTTGTGACCCATTAATACTCGAGAGTTTCTGAAGAGTTTAAGACATTCATGTAACTACTAACCACCAAGCATGTGCTAATTAATGTCAATGACTCTCTCTCTCTCTCTCTCTCTCTCTCTCTCTCTCTCTCTCTCGTATGTGAATGCTGACATGCGTGGCTTTTCAAAGGCCCCAAAAAATGCATATAACAAACACTAGAGGCATTGGATGACACCGCCTCTATTTTTAAGTTCCCCAATTCTCTCCCTCTCCCTCTCTATGCATAAAATATATATGTGTGTGTGTGTGTGGGGGTAAATGTAGTATGTTTTTTCTTTAATTAGTGAAAAGAACAGAGCGAAAAATAAATTGAAAGGAGGTATAAAAAAGCTGTCATCTTTTATATTACCTTGAATGGTGGCATTATTTCCTATCTACTTTATGACAACAAAAACATTTCCAGTATTTTGCACTTTTTTGGACTCGTTGGTCCACACTATCTACTATCTACTATCTACAACAGTATTCTGGAAAAACAGAATGCTTTGGAACTGTGGACCCTCACAATTTCAGGTGTACGCTGTGCAATAAATGTGTTTTAGTGTGCACTTTGAACACGGATACCATAAAAGCACTTTTGCCCTTTTGGTAGGATTGATCATAGAGGATACCATGTAGTTCATGAATTTGGTTGATTTTTGGAACAAAAAAAAATTAGAATTTGGTTGGATTTGTTTTGTTGTTTTGGTTGGAAGTGTAGTGTTGAGCAAGTAGGGATGCTATGCTACATTCACATGCTCCCAGTGTTGAATTGTACTTTTTCACATGTGATAAAGTGGAAAAATCATGTATGAGTCTATTATTAATATGGAATTAAAATTAATTTTCCAAATATATATATATATATATATATATAAATATGGAAGTAAAATTTATTATAGCACTGTATGTATGATTCTAAAAGACGGCTTTGTGTTGGCAAGAGAATGCATGGATTATGATGCACCCATGTGTTCTCTTTGTGATCATTAGAGTTCCATAACTATTAAATACTATAATATGATATTAGGCAAAAGCCAGACCAATTTTGCTGTCATTTCCCAGAAAGACCGTTTAATCTCTTATAAATATACCTATAGTTAACTTCTTCAAAACGTAAGGTAGTGATTGTTTGTGTGGGAACAGTGGTCATGCTCCCTAGGATTGGATTGAATGATCAAACGAAGCACTAGTAAAAAAAATTACTCATTTCATTAATGAATGATCAAACGAAGCACTAGTAAAAAAAATTACTCATTTCATTAATGGAGACTGGAGAGCATATATATATATATATATATTTCTTTCGTCTTATAATAGATGTCTCTTACGGGGAGTAGAACTTTTTGAGGGAACATGTAATTATTATATTGTCTCTTTTAAAAATTACAAAGTTACCCTTTCAAGTTTAAATATATATAAAATCAAGTTTGAAATTTTTTTAAATTTTAAGGATATTTTATAAAAAGTTGTGAAATGTTTTGTTTAAATTTAGTAAGTAGACAAGTATTTTAGAATAATTCAAAAAAAAAAGGTGGATAATTATTAAGGGACGAAGGGAGTTTTAAAGAAACTTGGTTCAATTGGACATTAATTAAGGCATGTCACTTGATGGCATGACAGAGAAGCTAGTACAGATCCATAAACCATAATTATACTAAAAGAAAGGAAGTTATATTTTTTTTTGAGTACCTTGAATGTTAGATGTTAGAGGGGAGGGTGAGTGTGCAAGGTGTGAATACGAATTGCAAATATAGAGCAACCAACCACTTGCACCGTTTGCGTGAACTTACTACAGTATTTAATTGATTGTTATTTTAATGAAGCTAGCAGATACTTCAGCTTTCTTGTACGTGAATGAAACCATTTGGGAACCAAACCCCACCTCTTTTCGTTGTGCTGGTAAGTTGATTAATTGTGTCTAACACTTTTCAGAATGGACTCTCTCTCACACACACGCACACAAATTCCACACATTGAAAAAAACAAAAAAATGGATTTCAAACCCCGAAAAGAAGAAAAACAAAAGATGATGAATAACCAACATTTTTGTGAATTGTGTGAATGAAATGAATGCCACAATTTACACTGATTACTACAGAAATATATATATAAAGAATTCGATCAATTAATCATGTTTATGAAAAATGAAATGCTAACGATTCACAATATTGATGTTGGCCATGGAAAAGATAAATCCATGAAAGAATTACATGAATTAGTAATGGCAATCAACTAAAGACGATGGTGAGAAGACGATAAGTTGTCCTTTGGAGGAGAAAGGAATCAAGTTGGATTCGGGATGATCAGTGTCCACCTCCGGAGCTGGAAGATTAAGGTCTAATGATAGAACATTACTACTACTACTCCTTGGTTTCTTGGCTTGATCTTGAGATGAGTCTGCAGGACTACTACTGCTACTTGTACCCATTGATGGCATGCTTCTATTTCTATGCCTCCTCATGTGACCTCCTAAAGCTTGACCGGACATGAATTCAGCTCCACATATCGAACACTCGTGAACCTTAGAATATTTGTTATTACTACTTGATAATAAAACCCTGTTAGAAATTTGAAGAGAAAGGGCAGTAGTACTATGGTGGTTGAATTTATAATCTTCTTCTTGCATAAACGCTAACACCTTTTTTTCTTCTCCGGCGACGGAGGCTTTCTTGTGACTGGCTCTGTGTCCACCTAATGCTTGAAACGAAGAGAAGCACCGGTTACATGTCTTGCACTCGTATAATGGGCCCGCCGCCGCCTTGTTGACCGTCTGGGCTGGTTTAGGGGTTTGGCCGCCTTGAGCCAAAAGAATCAAACAATTGGCCATGTCTTCTTCTTCCGTCGTAGTTTGTGTCAATTGGACCAAGTTGGTTGGAGAGGAAGTGGTGGGATCAAACGATCGGCCACCTGAATTGTCACTAATACCACCACCACCACCGCTGTTTTGGAGTTGTGGTATGGTATATGATGAGATTGAAGTAGTAGACATGGTTAATGAAAGGGGAGAGGAGGGTCTTGGACGCTTGGTGCGCTTTCCTTTGATGATGATGTGTGTGTATTCGTTAGACAACACCATAGCTTCTTCTTGGACTTCCATATTCATTCACCACTGACTAAATTAAAAAGCTGAGACAGAGAGACTGTGTGTGGAGGAGAGCAGGCAATTAAGGTAACGGAGTGGGCGTTATTATAGAGAGAGAGAGAGAGAGAGAGGAGTGAATGGTTAGAGGGGGTTGGGTTGGTGTTGTTAGTGTGTGTTAAAAAGCCGCCCCCGTGAACAGTAACCGTGAATGTGTATGTCCAAGCTAGCATTTCCAACCTTGGAAGTTATACATATATATATATGCAAATGTATAGATATACAGTTGTATATACATGTATATTTAGAGAGAGGTGCAAATGCAATGTAACAAGTAGGAAGAGATTGAGAGGGAGGAAAGGAGTGAGATTCGGTTGGCTTTGAAGCAAACTCCCCCCATTACTTTTTGCCAGCGATTCCTTGTACAAGATTAGAGTGCAAGCCTGGCACCCCCACACACATTTCGCAGCTTCACCCCCCAAACCTTTTTCTTCATTTTTCCCTTTCTAGCTTACTCTGTTTTTTTTTTCTTTTTCTTTTTTTTTTTTCTGATTGGTTCCATAACGAGTCTATTGATTATAAAAATACTAACAATAATTAAATTAAATAAAATAGTACTTAGCTCCAACTCTGTTACAAGCCATGCACCGTTCAAAAATATATATATATATTTTCTTTATTGTCAAAGACATGTATTGCATGTTCTTTAAAAAAAAAAAAAAAAATCAAGTGTTAACATTTTTTTTTTTCACAAGCCAAATGCAAACACCCATTGTTGCCCCTTACGAAAACTTATTCTACAAATATCAACCTTTCAATAATGACTTTTTATACTTAAAGTTAAACCACTCCCATATGGAACTAATTAACTTAGTCTTATATGGTGCAGTTATACTCTTGAAAGTTTAATTAATTATAAAGTCAAAGTTAGAAACAAGCCTCTTTCAAGCCGTAGTAGTGGCGTCAGGTGACGCATTCCTAGGTCACACCCTTGGTATCGTCTTGCGATAAATTAGTCTTGGACCATGGATTAATCAAACAAAAGTTAATTTTGAGATTTTTTTACAATATAAATATTACAATAATAAATTTTTGTGAGACTGTTTTTTTGCAAAACTATCTAATAAATTCACTGAACTTACTGATTTAACCTTCATTAATCAATTACCCATGACATAACTTTCCACGTTTATTAGGCTAATAAAGTTGACTTTCTCAAGCCATCATATAAACAATTTTTTCATACAACCCCACTCGTTGAAAGCGATGGCGGGAGTGTTTTTTTGAGTCACAATTAATGGTGCTTTAAACTTTTAAAATGTGTGGTTCTGGTTAATTGCATGTTTTTTTTTTTTAATATTAGACACTTCTTCGATCATATAGCAATTGCATGTGCAATTAACCCTATCCACCTTATATTAAATATTATTCGTAAATACTTTGATGGATGGACCATGACCCAAAATTTGCGCCGTCTGTATGCGTACAAATTATTGGATCACTAATATCTTATGCTCCTACAAATGATTAAGTGTTTTTTTCCTGTAAAATAAAAATGATTAGCGATTGGTAAAGGTACGGAGAGATGCCACGTTCCCACTGAATTATACTCTGGAGTACTATTAGAATACAGTGTTATACAGTAGAGATTACATATATGATATATATATTTATTGTACCAAGTGACTTTTTAGGATATGCAAACATACATGCAACTGTATAAAAAAGAACAAATTGTCGCTAATCACACTCACAAGTTTTGTTTGATAACAATAGCAATTGACTTTTACTCGTATGTGTATATATGCTCACCACGCACATTTCCAATCACATTATGTATCTTGCAAAGAAAATTATTATTTCAGCTAACTTTACATCTCGAATTGGAGTGGTGAGATCATGTCACTGTGTTATATATTTTAAATGTTAAAAATGGAATCGGATAAAACAATTTGTAAGTAAGACGAATATCACTTGCTACGTTGTTTTAATCCCTATTAGTGGACAAATATGGGTTGTTCTTATTCTCTGCAACATGTGCTTTCTCCAGCTTAGTCCATTGTTTAACAAATCTTGTTTGTTTTTTTGTTTTTGGGTAAATTATAGTACATTGTTTTCATCGTTAAAGTTGACATGATTTTGTAATGTGTGAAAAGTTCACCTTATTATGCTTAAAATGCATTTCAATGATTGCATGTCAGACTGCTGTCATATATATATATATATATATATATATAAGTTTCAACGGTTGAGATTACATATATTTTGGTGGTGCATGCATCCTAACCTTTTCACATGATACTTAGATCTTTCACAAGATTTTGCTAATAATAGTGCGTCTAATCCTTGTAACCGCAATCCTAAGCATGCCAAAAGTTTATTAATTGGCTTCACTTTTGGATTGAAAACAGGCTTTATTTAAAATTCTGGTTTTATGAAATCAAATAAACTTGGTAAAACCTGATGTATGGAGTAATCTTTTAAATCAATAATACGACTTTATGCGCAATGAAAAACTCTCTCTTTTCTTTGAAGTGTCATAATATTATTGGATCATATTATTAATTTTTTTTTTATTATTAACAGAGCACACTGATCTAATGACATGCACATGAGCATCAACAGAGCTAGGAGGTTCCTCTTTAATCATAGGGCAAATTACACAAATCACCCTCGAGATTTTTATATTGTGCATGTAAATAGAAATTATAACAATATTACAGAAAGATCCATATTGACCGCTTGACCACAAGTGATCAATATAAATTTACATTTTTGACCTTAAAATTAAAGTATTTGTTTTTAATGAAAAAAATAAAAAATGTTGTGTATTGACAAGTTTTATTTTTGCCCCTCAAAAAGTAGTACACCCCATCACTTCCCTACCACATCACTTTCTTTTCTCTCTCTAAACACTTCAATCGAATCATGGGTTTCCAAGGAGACAACGAAGTTGGGACGACGCCAAGCCAAGTCGCCGAAAAATCATTCATGTTCCGATACAATTCGCCCCTTGTTCAGGTGGGTCTTATCGGACTGGTGTGTTTCTGTTGCCCTGGCATGTTCAATGCCCTATCAGGTATGGGCGATGGTGGGCAAGTCGACCACACGGTGGCGAACAACGCCAACACTGCCCTCTACACCACCTTCGCCGTTTTCGGCGTCCTCTGTGGCGGAATCTACAACATTTTGGGCCCACACCTCACCCTCTTCTCCGGCTGCTCCACCTACGTTCTCCACGCCAGTTCCTTCCTCTACTACAACCACTATCTCCACCAGTTGTTCGCCATCATTGCCGACGCATTCATCGGCATCGACGAGGGGCAATAATATGCATTTAGCGTTACCCATCGACTCTGATTGATTAAGTAACGACTAATTGTTTTTGGGTCTATTTCGACCCCTAAGGGTCGTGGAATTTTGTGAAGGAATTCGGAATGATTTGTGGCTCTGTGGTTGGATTTGGGTCTGTGATTGGTTTTGTTGCCGATGGTTTTGTAGCTTTTGCAATTTAGTTCTGGTGTTGTTGGTGGTAATAGATGTTTTAGGTGGGTTTGGTGGTGGTTGCACGTGCCGGTGATGTGTAGGGAAGTGAGTGGGTGTACCACTTTTTGAGAGGCAAAAATGAAACTTGCCAATGCATAATATTTTTTATTTTTTTCATTAAAAACAAATATTTTAATTTTAAAGTAAAAAAATATAAATTTATATTGATCCCTTGTGGTCAAACGGTCAAAGGGTAGTTTGTGTAAGTTGCCCTTAATCATGAGGAGGTAACTACTGTTCTGAAATTTATATCGCATGATAATATGATATCCACAAACACATTTTTAATTTTAGTGACCTGAGAATTAAAAAAAAATAATGAAGTCCGGAACCAGCGCTACTCACAGTCACACGCAATCAAATAATTACATTGAACTTGACTCCATGCAGTTAGGGTTGCACGTCCCTAAAAAAATTTTATTTTTTATTTTTTTTATTATTATTATTTTTTTTTTTTATTTTTTTTTTTGAAACTCTATAAATGAACTTACTATCAAATTAAATAACCAAATTATATATATGTGTGTGTGTGTGTGTAAATTGTGTTGGGCGGTGGCTGTACCAAGAATTCTTCTCCATATCAGTCAGAGTGCGTGAAGTGAATGGAGAACAAAGCGTGGCTCCAATGGAAAATAGATTCTTGGCGTAAGGAACTTCAAGAAGTAGGGGGTGTTGTTACTTGTGAGGGGCACTAAGGGTCGATGCCAGCATCATATACATACATATATACATTAATTTATACATACATGATCCATGTATATATGTACGCATGTATATATGTATTAGCAATAGTTAGTAGTGAGCCAGTTAAGTAAAGAATCCTTTTCTTTTCTTTCCCACAACTCCTTGCATCAATTTAATTTGTTGGGCTTGGTTCCTAACTTTGTCTTATTTCAAGTACACTCTTCTTCCAGACATCTACAACTATATATATATATATATATATATATAGACACACACAAATATGAGTATAATATATAGTGGAGCACGTAGATGTCCGTTATGGAAGCATAGAAGAAATGGGGAACAAGCAATCATGCCGGTGAAGATACAACCTGACATATTTTTAACAATGTTTAAAATGCACTCCACTCAAAAACAGCTAGAGGATTGAGAATAGCATGTCTTATGGGGTTGAGCTCCACTTTCTAGGGCTCAATCATTGAGGACCATATACCATATGCAGAGGAGTACGAAATTACCCACATTACCCCTACCTCCGTAGTAAAGTGGTGCGCTGGATGTTTAGGCCTCCGAATTGGAGAAAGTGGTTGGATCAAGTGGTGGCACGAATCGTTGTGATTGGTCGAGAATCACGTCATCTAACACTACATAATTAGTTTGAGAATTAACAATGTCAATTACTCATTTACCATTTTTAACTAGGTGCATACAAGTCCGTGACCAAATTATAACTATGAAAATTATCAATATGATATAATGTTTAATGTTTAATATTTAAAACACATCTAGGTGTGGCAAGAAATCAGAGTAGAGCTGATGTGCGGACCAAGTTCAAAAAACTGTTTTTATTTTGTTATGGGTGTTGGTATGGGTAGTTGTAGTTTGAGTAAGCACTTTGGAAATTGCAACTGATGGATACTAGATGAAATCCGTTAATGGAGTAACTAAGGGTGTATCAGAAAAAGAGATATATATATATATA